ATTCCGATTGGTTAATTAGCCCTAAAATAAAACTAATCAGTTTCGGTGTGTTAAGGCAGCCAATTCATAATGAAAACACCGCAACGAATGAAAAAGGAGAATGACCCTTTTTTTTTTTAAGCAACAGAGCCCACTATGTTATGTGTGCTATTGTGCGTTGAGCTTTACTTACAATCAATGGCGCACTAGCGCGTTATGGCAATGCACGTGTGAATCGGAAGCTCCAAAGCACATATTTCAATCGTGATGCGTTGCGGGAACGCGCATTACAGCAAGGCATGTTAAATGTGTTACTGAGCTGCAGTGCAATTCATTTTTTTTTTTGCAAGTTTATTTTGGTTTTAATGAAACGAAGATCAAATTACAACAGAGTTGTCATATAGTTATTACAATCTTTGTAACAATGATAGATAACCTAGAGCATAACAATGCAGTCTGACAAAACAGGTCTACACATTCTTGAACAAGAAAGCAATAACAGAGTGTGCAATCAAAATTCTGTAAAGTATGTAAGGATCAATATGTTGATTGCCACTGTGCTCTTAACACGCATTACAAGAATATTTATATAGCTCAGGTTAACAAGTTAACAAATTAACTGAGGAACAGTGTGTGGTTACCTGGAAACTTAGATCAAAGTAATCATTGAACATGTTGTGACTGATGGATCTTATCGGGTTGGAACGGAGCAATTCATTTTAAACTGCACTTCAATGCACCAAGGCAATACAGCTTCAATGCACATGTGTGTAATCCACAAAGCACGGTAATGAGTTAGCGTGCATTATGGTGCACTGTGATGCCAAATATGGTGTATGACCATTTTTGGGTGTGTTGGGGGGTGGAGGGGGGCACAGCTACACACTAATCCCCATGGTTTTGGCATGGGATGTTCAACAAGCTCATAGTTGTGATGGTAAGTGTTTAGAAACTTAGGGTAAAGGTATAGTGGTCTTTTGTATGCCATTCCACATGCAACCAAATTTACTAGACTTGGACCCCAAGTTCATCAAGTAATAGAAATATATCTTGTAATAACTATCTTCTTGCCACAAAACACAGTTCTGCACAGTGCACTTGGCATCCGATGTGTCACATTGTATAGGTATCAAAGTAAGAGGCTACCCACATAATAAGCAGAATACCCACTCCTGACACTGTAATAGATCAGAACGATATTCTTGGCATCAGATACATATTATTTTATGCTAAGGCATGCATAACCGTGATGTGATAAGGCAGGACAACACAATATTCAAGTTTAGAACTAGTATTCTTACCAGTCTTCTTTTGTTCTGTCTGTACAGGCATTGAATGATCCATTGTGTAAATGTGAAATACTGACATTGTGATTGGTGCCATGGGGCTCTGTCTACACCTGTCTAATGTTATCTAGAACTGCAACAAGCAAAATCTGAATGGTTTCCCATCAGTTACAATGGATACTGCAAGGGCCTGTCCAAGTATGGCGGCACAAAGGAGGTCATGATTACTATTTACCACCTTTGTCTGCAGAATGTTAATTAACCACCTGCTGGGAACATTACTGTTTCCACGAGGGGGACAATTAACAGCCTCTGTTTAAAACCAAATTAAGCTTCCATCACCCAGAACAGGCTGTTATACAATGCAAATGGTGCCATTCCAGAGTATGTGATCACCTTGACAACCAATCAACGTGATCAATTAGATATTTGTGCAAGAAAAATACACTGACCTGCTGGCCATAGCCCTGAATCGCCTTCCATTCTATTATAGATGCTGAGACAGAAGGAGAAAGTGCGATTCCTGGATTGGGCAATGATCTCATGTCTGTGGGTCCTTACCCCCCTTCCCAGCAACAGAAACAAGTAAGGCTGACAAAGCCCACTGTGCATGTTTATTGCATACTCTGCAATTCTCCAGACAGATAGACTGGAGCTGCATATACAACATCCCTTCATGTGTACAGGGAGATTTATGTCAATGTGTTCACTATGAGCTCTCTCTGCTGGCACAAAACGGTTTCTTCACATAGACTTGTATTGCAGGACGAGAAAGAAGGGGGGTGGGGGGAGTCTGATCAGTTCTGTTACTGAGTGCTGATTACCAAGTACAGTATGTCAAACTCTGGTGCCTATGAGACTGAACCGACATATTTAGACCCTACTGTACATAGGTTCAGTAAATAGGTAAGAGGAGGTAAGACTATGAAAACCGAGATTGTTAGTACCCTGTGTATGTGGCTTCAATTGGATTTAGACCTGAATGACCGGCCATCTTACTTATATGGCACTTTTAGACAGTCAATTATCCTGGATTGACTGAGCAGGTCAGAAAATGTCCTCCTGCACGTAACCTAGCACCAGAGCTCTCATGTCACCTCTCCCTCTGCCTGTCTCCTACCTTCTCCACAGAGATGAACTGTGTGTTTGGCTGAGCATTCATTTCTGTGTCACGGTCTGTGCTGTGTTTTGCCCCAAGGGCTTGAGCCAACCAGCTTCTAAAAGATGGGGGGCATACAAGGAGAGAAATTTGCTCAGTGGGTGGCCTTATCTGCCGGTTCCTGCCTGATATCCTTTGATTGAAAAAAAAAAAGAAAAAAAATCGAAGGAGACCAGCATAAAATTTTGAGCTGAACAGAGCCTGCATTCAATAAGATGCCTGTAATGTTCAGGTACTTTGACAGCCAGCAGGGCCAAGTGTCAAAATACAAAAGCTGCAGCGGGAGCTTGCTCCATTAATTCTGTTTAGCCTGGATGTGTATGAAAGTGTATGAATGACAAGAAGAACTCCCGGCATAATTATTCTTAATCCCTGCAGTGGGGCTACCCCCACACTGCAAGGGTTAAATGCTTGTTTGCATCTAGGGTGGGAACAAAACAAAAAAAAGAAGAAGAAGATATACTCACCTGAACCTTGTAGCTGGCTAGCTCCTAGTCCGGTCCCTGCCACCTGTCGCCTCATAATCATGTCTTATATACTGTATAGAAAGTGATGACTCGCAGGACCTTAGACCGCTGGAGGGTGTAGGAGGCAGCCGTCCGTCTGCGAGGTTCAGGCGAGTATATTTCTTTTTAATCTTCCTCCCTAGATGAAAACGAGCACTTAACCCTTGCAGTGCAGGGTAACCCCACTGCAAGGGTTAAGAATAATGATGCCCGGAGTTCTTCTTTAAGCAGCCAGGTTAGGGTAATTAAAGATAAATGTAATATACAGTTAAGTCATGGGCCTGTAATAGTTGTATTAAATTTAGTTATCAATATGGGGCTACTTTTTTAGTTAACTGATCCATTATCACTTTTTAGGTTAATATATTATATGGTGATTATCATTCAAATCTAAAAATGTTAAGGTCCAAGGTTAGATATCTCGGTGCACATATCTCGGAGCATGGTAAGCAGAAAAGAATAACACCTTGAGATCTACAATGTACACAATTGTTTACTGGCCATAAACAATTGTTTTATAGATCAAATATACTGTATAGTAAAGTGGGCGGAGTCTTTAAGAGCAGTATTACTATTATACTGAAGCTTTGGATACACTTTCCCAGCTTGCTGGTCATTAGCAATGCAATGAAGGCTTCCCAAGTCTCTGCATATATCAGAGCAGATTATTAGAACAGCTGTCTATTTCTCTTCTCGCCGGGTCTTCTGTGGGAAGAACTTATGCATATGCTTGATCAATTGTTAAACTGCTCTGTACAGTGCGAACAAATGCATTATTTTATTTTTCTTGGGTATAGCCACATTCATTCTTATGGTTGTATTGTGTCAGTCACTAATATCAGGAATTCCAGTACCTTTATATTATACCAGGGGTGTGGACATTTTTGAAAAAACTACTTGTCCAAGGACTAAAGCGGGGGCCGAATATACTTGTCCCTCATGACAATCTACTTGTCCTGATACAAAAAAAAATATTTTAACCAAAACCGTATTTAGCAGTGCTAAGAAGCGCTTCTCATTGGTCAGTGCTGTCAGGTGACCGCGTTGACCAACGAGTGCTTGCAATTTGCGAGCGAAATTCAGAATTAATGGAACAGGTACAGATGGTGGACGGGAAGGACCGTTTGCTGAAAGGTAAGTATAGTGGGAGGGAGATTTGTGCGGGTAAAATACCGCCCTGCCCGTGCGGTTGCACCCGATCGCAGTTGCGAGCTTGGAGTGATGACTACTTTACAACACACACAGGGACCATAGGGAACAACGCTCCAAGCTCACTCCTGTGATGAGACTACAATCTCACATTTACTTAGCCGTGGGAGAACAAAAGTAGCCAACCTCCATAAGGAAGACCAGTTTCAGCACAATTTCAGAGATGATTTGAGGATCTACAGCCGAGTGATACACAAATAAGATACATTGTTGTTGATAGTTAAGGTACTTGAATACATTTTTAAGATATAACTCCTGAGTTTAGTGTCACTTATTATTAAACATGCAAACTTTTGGGATGCCTTCTTCAGGCTTTATACAAGTCTGAAAATGGCTCTGAATCCTACAGATTTATACATCCTTAGTACTAAAGGATCACATATCTGGAATAAATTGTGTTTTACTTTTTCAATCTGCCTGGAGTTTAGCTTTACACCCTAATTTTGCATCATGAATGTAAAAGAACAATTGAAACAAACATGACAGATTTTACTTGGCAATCAGATGAAATTACCCAATCAGTGCAGCTTCATGCAACATAAACAAATGAATACATATTCAATGTATGCTAGTCAGATGTTTTCCAGTTTGCTACCCATTTGTTGCCTTTGTCCATACGAGATAGATGAACAAAAGCCTCCTCACCAGCCTAATATGTGCTCCCCACTGTCAATGAGACTTTAAAGGTAGGAAGCCACTTTCATTTTTATTTACTAAATGTGGCCACCTGACTCCTAGGCTTTTCTAGTCCACAAATAGTAACCACACTTCCATTTCAGATGGGGGGGGAGGGGGGAAAGAAGAAGAGATCATTAGACCTGCACCCACTAGATACCCATTCATCAAAGCTATCACACGTACTTGTACTCCTTCTCCTGTGAGTGCTGAACACGACTGAATCTGCCAGACTCTGTCCCGGATTGTGTGCAGGTTTAGACCCTCAGCAATTTCTGAGGCAGGTGCAGCTGTCAGTAAATCCTGTTTGTTAGCAAAGATCAGCACAGGGACACCACTAAGCTTCTCCTCATCTAAGAGTTCAGCCAGTTCCTTGAAGAAAAGAAAAAATAAAAGTAAATACAATAGAGACAGTCTAAGGATACCAGGAGTAAGAGACTAACAGGAACATTTTGAATGAATATGGATACATCAAATCATAATAGTATATCGCTTTTCCTGTGTTGAGTTTCAAAGTTATATATTTATCAATGCATGGTAAACAAAAGGTGGCCATAGACTTGAGCTTATTTTCTACTGATCAGCAAGATTAGTCAGCAATCTCATGTTTGTGGCAGCAACAGACACCCCAAGTGGAATACTTTTGGTGTGGCAAAATAGATTGCACAATTGTTATCATGTCCTCAAGATAAGACACTGTTTCTTCGTCACCTTTACAGTATACGCATTCAAACACTCCAGCAAACCAAATATGCATACTTTTTTAGTTATGATGAGGTGGCAAGAGCAGAAACAATGGAAGCTGCGCATTACGGATCAGACAGGATTTTGGTGTGCCTGGGTGCTAGAGCTCCAGTTTAGGCACCTGGAGGTGCCCGATACTTAGGCCTTGTTCCGCCTTGTTCTGTGGAGCAGGTGCAGAGCAGAGCAGTTACAGAACGGAGCAAAACTGCGTCCAATGTATTCCAATGGTATTTTTAGCTCCAGTTCACATTGCAGCGTTCAGTTCCAGAGCAGGTAAAAAAAACTATGTTTCCTGTAACATCACAGGGCAAATGCTGCTACCGAGATCAAAGGGAGTTCGTATACTGAACTCTCTTTGATCTCTTGTCACAGAGCCGTGCCGGTCCCGGCCGCATCGGGCACAGCAGATCCCGGGACCGAACACGGCAGCGACAGATACTGATACAAGCGTCTATAGATACGCTCGATCGCTTGACTGTGTTAAGCTCCCGTGTAATTACAACGGCCGGCCGGGAATCTGCTCGTCGGGCTTCACTGTCTGCTCGTCACAGACGAGTGGACGAGTGGATTTTTCGAGCCCTGTATATATATATATTTATTTTTTTTTGTTTTGTTTTTTTCCCACATTCATATTCATGGGAGAAAAGGGGCATACCCATAAACTTTCTTTCAAAAGAACACGATGGGAGCTGGCTTGATAAAAAGGCTAAGTTGTTTATGAAAGTACATCCTTTGGTCTTTATCCAACTTCACCAATGGTGAGGAACAGAGGTATGCAGGTGGGATGCCTTAAAAATAACACTGTATGCCCAACTCTCACTCAACAAGTCAGGCCAAATTGTTTTTTGGGGCATGGCAAGTCTCAAAAATTGTCATTTTTTTAACAAGCAGATTACATTTTATAATTTGCATGCATATGAATATTTCAGAAGCAGGTGCCCTATAAATCAGGAAAGTTCTAGTGTGCTACAAGGTTTTACAGACCTGGCTGCCTCCCAGGACAAAAGTAGTCAACCGACAACCCACAAAGACTGACACAGTAATAAATGAGAAGACTATACCAACCTGGCCAGTTTCTTCAAAACGTTTTCGGTCTGCGCTGTCAATTACATAAATCTATACCAAAAAAAGAGAAAATGTTTTTACGTAGAGTCCAATTTTATACACGGCATAAAACAATATCTTGCTGTGGTAATATTAAAAACTCATTTCCTGAAGAAGCTCTTTACTAGCAGCAAATTTGTCCAGGTCTGGTGGAGCCATTGTGACGTGCTGGACTTCTCATGTGTCCCTGTACTGTCACAGAGAACCTTGAAACGGCAGTGTGGCTTTCACGTATACTTGCATATATGTGCAACTTACATTGCAAACAATGTGTTTTTTTTGCTTGTTAGCTGATAAGTGTTCCGGGAAATTTTTGTATTGTGTTTGTGAATAAATACACACATTAAATGAAAGAAAAAATGTGCAATGATTTTTTTTTTTTTTATTGGATCCTGGCTGCAATGCACGGGCTCCTGCAGACTGTTCCTCCAGCACCAAGTCCATATGGAGGTACAGACCTGCAGTTATGGAGCTGGAGGAAATAAATGTAATGGCCTGCAAGAGCAGTGACATCACTGCACTTGCGTTCCACTGAGAACTTGAGAACTACAAGTTTCTGTGAAAAGAAGATGCGGCTGTGCGGGTTGAGCCAAGCACGTGACGTCACTTCAAGCACTACCTCTTACTCAAGGTCTGTATGCTGCATGAGTGCAGGTGATTTTGTATTATCGATTGAGCCAAGCAGAGGCGCACCGAATTAAAAATATACAGAAAGCTGCAAAACTAAGCCAATTTGGGGTTTCTCTATAAAGCAAAAATTGTCCAGCTCTGGAGGAGCATACAACTCCCACCATTAAACAGTATTAGTGCTTGGCAATTGGCCCGGTGCGGTCATGTGTGGGCAAAGAGTCCTCAGCCCTGTGTAAGCTCCAACTGGAATGACTTGGAGCTTACACAAGGCTGTCTTCACTCCTGGTGGCTGAACAGAGTGGGAGGAACAAAGAAAAGACAAATATGTGCAGCTGGGATTAAAGGTAACCTGTTGTTCTACATAGGCAAAGCACAAGTTAATTTTACAGGATAACAGGCTGACAGCGAATGTCAAGGGTTGGCCTTCACCCGCAACTTACCGGAGAATACTGAGGGTGCCCATCACCATCAACAAGGAGTAAGAAGTTAAAGTGAGAGAGGGCAGGCCAGTCCTTAAATTTTGGCAAGAAAGTGGAGAATTGTATATCTGAGCGTCCACGGTGTCTGGGGTCCCAGGATGTGGAATATGCAGTTCAGAAATATATATACTAAGCATGTCTACAACGCAGTCAGGTTGATATTTTTGGAGTCTTAAGAGATTAAAGTTTCTCTCCTAGCTCTCTCTGTTAGAGCTTCTCACTTTAGGCTCCATTCGCACAGGAGCGGTCGTCAGCGCGTATTTGGCCGTACGAATATGCGCGGAACTGCTCTAGACATAAAGAACAATGCACTTTAATGTGCATCGTTTAGACTTTTGCAGACGCCTGCGCGGTATAAACCTGTGCATCCCGCAAAATAGTACAAGCACAATCTTATGGCGGATTCCGCACGTATGTTAAAGTATGCGTATTTCCATTGCGCGCAGTTTTCTGTGCGGAAAACGCTACCGCTACGTGCGAGTGGAGCCTTAGGTCTCTACTCTGTTCATGAGTGTCACAAGGGTGATTGTCCGTAGGCTTGAATGAGGTAATCTCCTAACAGTCACATCAGAATCAGACACAAAGCAGGACAGGAAATATAAAGCTGAAGGCTCCCAATACATACAGAACATCATACGACCGAGCAAGAAAAGGAATAATTGCACCTTACTCCAGAGAAAAGGTTTGGCTGGTCTGGTCAAACTCCTGGTCTACTCCTCCCTGCAGCAGAGAGAGCATGACCAGATGCCTATAACGTCTGGAACATGTCCAGTTATGGAGGAAGCCTGGAGAAGCATTTTATCCACGAAAGGTCATTATCTCAGCCATGCTGATATGGCTAATTCTTATACAAGTATTTGGAAATCACAGTTATTACAAGACTCCGATATCTTAGCGCTGAATCAGCAGTCATGACCTGGCTACTAATGGTATGCATCACCTGGCTACAATGGTACGACATGCATCTTGGCCGATGCTACTTGACATACCCACCATATTTATCCTGCATGAGGGATACATTGTTGCTACATGGCACATTAAGTGTTCCCATCAAAATAATTTTCTCTTCCACCCCCTTTCACAGTGATAGTAAATCAAATGGGTGACTCTTCCCAGCAGGGCCACAGACAGCAATAAAAACATGACAGGGGTTCTAATCTCCACTAAGAGAAAATGTTCAAAAGAGAACTATGGGGTAACCTTTTTATGAAACAACTCACCGACAGACAGTGACAGCAAATGCTAGAGCTCATTTTAGTAAATTAAACAAAAATAAACAGACAGACATGCTATATTAGATTTTTAATTTTGAAAAAGCTGAAAACACAACAATCCCTAGTCTACGGCTGACAATCCCTAGTCCAAGGCTGACCGTACTAACAGTCAAGCGGTCTCCTGAAACATCTGCAATATCTCCCAATTACAGCTATTTGGTGGAAAGTTAGAGATGATTAGCGATAAACAAGACAAAAGCATTTCTCCACCTAGATTGTTATTTTTATTGGTCCAATATCATTTGTAATACCTTGTGTTAAATTGGGTTCATACACTGTATTAATAAACTGAAATACTTACAAGAACGTCTGTATTCTCAAAATAATTCCTCCAGTACGGCCTGATTTTCCTTTGTCCGCCAATGTCCCATACATTGAGTTTAAACCCCTGAGATTGTACACTTTTAATATTAAATCCCTGAAAAACAGTACACAATAAAATGATTTTTTATATTTGTTTAGCATAAAGATGCAAAATCGATCTTAACGTTATCAAAAAACAAGAAAGAGGAGGCAGTCATTCACCAGCTGAAAGATCACTCAATGCAATACACTAACAGAGGAATAGGCAATATTGCTGGGAACACTTTAGAATGAACCACCATGGGGGAAATATTTAAAGACATCGAGGGGAATTTATAAAAACTGGAGCAGACAAAATCTGGAGCAGCTGTGCATGGTAACCAATCAGCTTCTCTCTTTCATGTTCAAATCTTAACTGAACAAGCTGAAGAAAGAAGCTGATTGGTTGCCATGAGCAACTGCTCCAATTTATGTCTGCTTCAGTTTTGATCAATTCCCCTCATTATGTTTCTGTTTTGCTTAAAGTAAGTCTGTTATGAGAAAAATATGCAGGCTGCCATTATTGACCGTCTTCTGAACTGATAGCTGCTTGGTTGTTATGCTGACCCATTACCTATATTTTTTCTGACTCAGAACACGTATGAACATCAAAGTCAGAAGTCATTATCTGTCTGCTTGCTGTGGATTAAGCAAGAGGGTCAGCAAGACAGCCAGGCAGGTAGTATTTTGAGAAGTAGAGGGCAGAAATACCCATTATATACCCAGCAAGAGAGAAATGGCATTAGCAATGTTCATTGCCATTTTTTTCATCAAGCTCTCATCAGTCACCTTTTCTATCCAGTAGCTTCCATTGTCACATCTCCCAATGTTTTAATTAGGGTCTGGTGAAGTGCCAGTGTCATCTGGTTCATGGGAACTGCCTTTCACAAACTACATTCCCCATAAGGCCATGCACCTCCTCCAAAAAGTGTCTGCAGCGTTGGTCAGCATAAATGTGAGCCAACCTGGCAGACGCCATTATATGAGGCTCTGTGTCAGCATTCCATGTGTCAGCACTTACTTTTGTAATCCAGGACGAGAGTGCACGGAGAAGGGTGACAAGACTATACTTGCATTTCATCAATCCTGATATTTTTTTGTGAGCCTGGGGAGGCCCTCAATCCTCTATACAGAAGTCTTGCTTTCTCTTCAATGCATTCTAGTGTCCAAAAAGGCTTCAGAACTACATTGTTTATTGGTGGCATGTGTGTGCTGCTAACTTTGAGTAATTACAAACATCAAGTCCTCCATATACCATGCATCAGAGATGTAGAGGCTCTTCAGGTACACAGAACACAATGTGATAATTAACAAAGGTACTGGCAGGAACCAGAAGGCTGTCAATGCTGACCTCTCCCTAGAGAAACGTTAGTTCACTGCTGGACAATATTATGCTTTCTGAGTGACCTTTTGTTGGCATTCTACATCAGGGGTATCCAAACTCCAGCCCTCCAGCTGTTGTGGAACTTCAAGTCCCATAAGGCATTGCAGGACTCAGACAGTCATATGTATTACAGATGTATGATGGGATTTGTAATTACACAACAGCTGGAGGGCCGCAATTTGGCTACCAATGCTCTACATAATGCTTGTTCTGGGTCTGTAAACCAACCAGTACTGAAGCCAGGCCACAAGAAGTTTTAGATGGAGGTCAGCAATGCCATTCTCCATAGTCCGTCATGAAAGGTGTACTTTAAAGCAAACCAGTGAGCCTTTAAAACAATTTAATACTTGAAGTCTTTCCATAGCACACAGCCACTACATGGTGCTCACCATAGGACAAAGCCACTACGGGATGTTTATTGTTGCCATTATCAAACTGAAAATCATCTTTTGTGCACATGGAGAATCCCACTGAAGTAGGAGCTTGAATTTCCATATACAGTAGGTATATCCCCACTGGGGTATATACCTAACCCACCATCCTATCTTCAATGTGAGCGCCACTACTGGATGTTGAGATAATCTCACTGCATAATAAGATTGTGTGTGAGCAATGCAGTGGTGGGGGCTTATGTCAGAAGTCAAACCTTCGCAGAATAGCTTGAGATTCCCCAGACACAAAGAGAGATTTCATTAGGTATTAAAAACCTATATCAGGTATCCTGCTGCATCTGCCCTATGCAGGTTTTGCGATTTTAGAACTGTAGGTTTGATTACCAGAAGGCAGTCGGTGCCACTGACCTGTGTTGGAGTGATGTGACTTATATCCTCCGACGCCAACTGCTTTAGTAACGTCGTCTTTCCTGCATTATCGAGACCCAGGAGCAGAATCCGTACCTCCTGGTCTGGAGCACTTTTCAATTTACGCAAGATAGACAGCAGACCCTTAAATTGGAAAAAAAAAAAAAAAAGAAAGACAGGAAGCAGAATTGCACTCATTATAGAAACTGAACAGTCACTTCCAAAGTTATTTGTTTCATTTGTATTACTTGCAGTCCCTTTATGTGACCAACATTTTTTTTCCCCCCAGAATATAAATCTTTATTAAAATTTTTCTAAACCAATAATGGTGCAATGTAACAGACGTTATACAGCAGCTGCATACATGACACAATGCATATGGGATATACCAGCAATCTCCAACACAAAGACCACTGAAAGTGCAGAATAGGTGATGACATTAGATCTGGCATTTATGCATGGATAAAACATATCATGTAATGCAGTAATTAACTCATAGAAGAGGGTGAAAAAGGGTAATAAAACAGAAGGAATGGCAGGAAGGAGTGAGAAAAGACATAGGCAGGACAAGCGAGAGATCACAGGAGAGGGAAAGGGGTGTTATGATTACAAGTACAATCTAATGTGAATATGGAAAGCCAGAGCCGATGGGTTTTCGAAAAAGACATGGAAGGGAATAAAGACATAAGGTAGAATGTCAAAGGATAAAAGGTAGACACATCTTGTGGAAGGGAGTAGCTACAGCAGGAGGTGCGCTAACTATGTTAAGTGTTCTCTAAATATTACATCAGGAGCTCCAAGGGAACCATCTAGTTTGGCCATAAAGTACCAGCAAGTGTGTTGGAAAGCAGCCATGATATACTTGAGTTGATCTTGGGATAACTCAGATATAAGATAGACAGACATGTTTTCTTTAAAGAAAAGAGAGGCATGGGGAAGAATGGGTTGAAAAAGTCTAAACGTGCATAGGATGAAATACAGCATGTTCATCTTTAAGGTTCATTTCCACTGTTTACAGCTGGCTCCGATTGCCTGCGCTTTGGAAAGAAACCAAACTGCCCAGAAACAGTAAACAAAAGTCTGCACCATTTTATTGAATAGCATGCTTTCCATCTATGTGTTTGTGTGGGTTGCAACTTAGCCCTCGTTCACACCTGAACGTTTTGTAGCGCGTTCTACGCTCGACAAACGCTCTACAAAATGCTCAAAAATATAAATCCCATTGTATTCAATGGTCTCGTTCCCACCTTGGCGTATTTCCGCCCGTCCCTAACGCGCTACAAAACGGCCCACGCCTGAAAAGGTACAGGTACTACTTTGGGCCGTTTTGTAGCGCGTTTCCATTGGGATACAGCCAAGTAGCCTTCGGAAACGCGCGACAGACGCGCATATGCAATACGCCTAGGTGTGAACGAGACCTTAAAGTGGACCTTTACCCCCTTTTACTAAAAATCACAGCAGCATACAGCTCTGCATGCTGATTTAAAATCATCTTACATCCATTACTTAAAAAGGAGAACTATAAGGAGAGTGCTTTTCACTCACCTCATAGTTCTAGCCGACCTGTGACAATGAGACTGTCACAGGTCGGCTCAGTAGATCAGGAGGTGAGCGAACACATAGCGGCATTCGCTCACCTCTCGATCCTGTCACGGCTTTCTGCTGGATTCCCCCCTCCCCGCTCCGATCCGCCAGCGCTGACTGGCGGATTGGACGGGGG